TATTCGATTGCGGTTCGGAGACAGAGGAGAAACATACAGATGCCAGTACAGTATGCCGACACAGTTGCGTATGCACTTGCGGTGGAGAGTATCGATGAGTTGGTACCTACTACATTCAGAGAGGCCGAGCAGAGTTCGGAGGCTGATTCGTGGCAGGTGGCTATGCAGGAGGAGATGGAATCTCTTCATAAGAACGATACATGGGAACTTGTTGAGCTTCTAAAGGGGCGGAAGGCAATTGGTTGCAAATGGGTATACACGAAGAAGGAGGGTATTGAGGGTACTCCATTGAGGTTCAAAGCTAGGTTGGTTACGAAGGGCTATGCACAGGAGGAAGGAATAGATTATAATGAGATTTTCTCTCCAGTGGTAAAACATTCTTCGATTCGGATTTTGCTAGCTTTTGTGGCACAGTATGGTTTGGAGTTAGATCATTTAGATGTAAAGACGAGATTTCTTTATGGTGATTTTGATGAAGAAATATATATGACTCAGCCATTGGGATTCCGAACTGGGTTTGCAGATTAAAGAAATCGCTATACGGTTTGAAGCAGTCTCCTTAACAGTGGTATAGACGATTTGATGGTTTTATGTTTGGTCATTCGTACACTCGGAGCCAGTTTGATCATTGCGTGTATTTTCGCAAGTTGAGAGGAGGTGCGTACATTTATTTATTGCTTTATGTCGATGATATGTTGGTTGCCTCTATTTTCAGGTCGGCTATAGATGAGTTAAAAGTTCAGCTTTCAAATGAGTTTGAGATGAAGGACTTGGGCGAGGCGAAGCGCATTCTAGGGATGGAGATTGGCAAAGACAAGAAGAATGGCAGAATTTGTTTGACACATGTGGCTTATTTGAAGAAGGTTCTACAGCGATTCCATGTTAACATGGATACGAAGCCAGTTGGTATACCTTTGGGAGCCCATTTAAAGTTTTCAGCTGGTCTTTCACCAAAGTCAGTTGAAGATCGATAGTTGATGTCGAAGACTCCATATGCGAGCGTGGTTGGGAGCTTGATGTACGCGATGGTAAGTACGAGACCAGATTTGTCACAGGCAGTGAGCATGGTTTCGAGATACATGCACGATCCAGGAGTGGGTCATTGGGACGCCGTGAGACGGATTTTGAGGTACATTCGATGTACGCTCAATGTTGGTTTAGTTTATGAGCGGGACACTACCGGTGGGTAGTCATGCATTGGCTATGTTGATTCGGATTATGCCGGGGATTTAGATAAGCGCCGGTCTACGACGGGGTACGTGTTTACTTTGACCCGTGCGCTGGTGTGTTGGAGATGCACCTTACAGTCGACGGTGGCTTTGTCTACGATGGAGGCAGAGTATATGGCAGTTATGGAGGCTGCGAAGGAGGCTATTTGGCTTCGAGGACTTTTGGAGGAACTTGGTATATTGCAGAGGTCCATCACTATTTATTGTGATAGCATGACTGCTATCTATTTGGAAAAAAATCAGGTTTTTCATGCGCGAACGAAGCATATTGATGTTCATTATCACTTCGTTCGGGATGTTCTTGAAGATGGTGATGTAGAGATTGTGAAAGTCCACACGAAGGATAATCCGGCGGATATGCTCACTAATGTGGTTCCGAGCAACAAGTTTGATCATTGTCGAAACTTGTTACACATTCGTGATTGTTGAGGCCATTGGCAGCCATTTGGGTGAACTATGTTTGGCTTGATTCCTTGGGCAAGAGGATACGTAGGCAGTCATGTTTAATTCAGTCGGTTTGGATTAGTTGATTTTGATGGGGGTGAAATTGTTTGGACTCTCGTTCAGATTCTCGACTTGTTGTGGATTGAGTTCGTACTGGACACAACAAGTGGGACTTTTGGTTGCTTTGGTGTCGGCTCAGTTTTGGGGAAACTTCGCTGAGGTGGAGAATTGTGAATGTGACGTGGTGGGGGCCAGTGGACACGTGAATGAAGGCGTGGGAGGAAAGCTGGACAATCACGCGTCACGAGATTTGAGAAAATCTTGTGAACAGTAGAAAAATAAAACAGAGGCCCACCCGATTACAACAACATATATATCAACGTTTCTTCTCCTAGGTTTTAGTGCAGGAGGTTTGTGAACTTAGGCATACAATTGAGGCGGCAGTGTTCAAAGAAAAAAGTCGGCTGTTTTGTTCTTCTTTTGACAGCGCGCAGGCAGAGAGGAAAACGAAGCTTGGCGGTTGTGCTTGGTGATAAATTGCAACGGCTTTTGTTAGGGTTTTGAGCATATATTGGTGGAGATATTTGTAAGAGATTTGAGAGTTTGTGTGAGGGTTTTATTTGTGAGATTCTTGTGTAAACCCTATTTGTATTCCCTCTCTAGTAGTAGATCTCCCCCTCCTTACCCCGTGGACGTAGGCAATTTGCCGAACCACGTAAAATTAGTTGTCTCGCTATTTGTGTTCATTGTAATAGCTTTTAGGTTCCCTCGACAGGTCAGTCCTAGAACTGATGAGAGGAAAAGCTGATATCTTACTTGGTTGAGATATTTTGCTTAAGGTTCTTGTTTCCTTGGTGAAAAAGGGTTTCCTATTGCAACCTGACTCTTGTTGTGTTGCCGAAGTGCTGCCGAAATTTCCGCTGCACGCAACAAAAACATACGGGACTACTAGTCCCGTATGTTTTCTGAGCCTTGTTTTTTAAAATGACGGTGATTAAGTTAGCTCTAAACATACGGGACTAGTAGTCCGTATGTTTTCTGAACCCTGTTTTTTAAAATATACCTCTTTTGACCCATTGGTCAAAAAGATGTATATTTTGCTAAATATTTAGCAAAGTGGTCTATTTTGCTAAATATTTAGCAAAAATAATCTATTTAAAAAAATTCCCCTTTTAGAAAAGGATTAGTTGTGGTTAGACCCCCACTATTCAATTGGTGTAGACTCCTGACTGAAGTCTTTTCTTTTCTTTTTTTTTTTTTATTTTTTATTTTGTGTGACTATCTCATCTTTAATCTCAGGAGCTCTTCTTGTTAAAATCCAATTTTCTTTCTCTAAAGGTAAAAGAGTTAAAAGTTTTTCACTCGGGGGATTTATCTGCCCAAGCAAAGAATTACAGAAGTCTATCGGCTCGGCAATTGGTCGATAGTTCAGGATTCTATCCGCAATATATGAACTCTTTAAATAATATTATGTATCAAAATTTCCCTCTTATTTTCATCTCATCCATTCATGTGAAAGCGCCATAAAACGTCATGGAAAAATCCACCAAAGAGAAGATATGTATGCGTTACGTAGAATGATTTAAAAATAAAAAGAGATGGAACAGTTGTAAAGGAGATTTAAACCACCATGTTACCTGTTACATGTGTAGTAAGTAGATTTAATTTTTGACACTTGTTAAGCATGGAAATACAAGCATCAATAAGGAAGGAAAAGTAGCATTGATATTGACCAACTAGACAAATAATCATGTAAAGAGCAAAGGGTTACTACCATAAAACCTGAGCTAGATACAAATGGTCTAGAATTCAGGTCTTAGCTAACAAAGCTTCTTCTTTGGCCCTAACAAAGCCTCTCCTTCTTTTCTGATGTAAAACATGTTGCGGATGCATTCATAGAGAAACTAGATCGTCAGAAGTTCAAACGGGATCCAACAGAGAAAATTAATTTGTAATGAAGAACAAGTTGTATCTCCTAAAATGTGCATCAAAATTGGACGAATAATAATATATATGCGATAAAGTATTTTTTTTCAAGATGGAGCCAACCCAATTGAGCATTAATTAGATCGCTACCGTCTATTTTGCGAAATTACATCCAAATTAAGAGAGATCAAACTTTTTATCAATTTTTTACTTTTTTGGGTAATATTTCAAGAGTCATTTTGATTAATAAACAAATCCGGTTTGATTTCAAATTTGACCAATTAATTTCCCTAACCATATGGAGTCTTTTAAGTATACTTTACCTATTTCTATTTTTGGTAAAGTTTGGGTTCTACTAGGACTTTAGTTTTTTTTTTTTAAGCAGAGAATTGTAAGCTCTAGAGGCAAAAAAATTTATTAATAAAATTTCCCTTATTAAGTTTTCTTCATGGATTCATCGATCGTTCTTTGTGAATTCAAAGAACAATCTATGATAGATTCTGAGGTTTATCATTTTCGCACTGTGTTATTTTCCCAATCAGAGATCAATGGCCTAAAAACTTATTTCAGCTTGAATATGCATTCCCACTTTGACATTGAAAACATGGTTAAATCATTAATCATTCTTCTGATTAATTTATAATTTCTTTAACAATACTATTTAAATGGAATCACTACTTTAACACAGAAAATTATCAAGACAGAAAGATAAAAATTTAAAACAAAATTTCTATAGACAGCTTAGGGCTAAATATCAGAAAACCCTCTTCACTTTGGATGATTATCAAATAACCCCCAAGATAACTTTCAGAATATTAGAAAGCCGCCCTAAGCTAGGGGTTATCATCTAACTTTAAGGTTTTATAAAAAAAACCTCTTTGTAGCATTAACCGCAATTTTTCACATAGGCATGTAAAATTACCCAAGGTATTTATCTAATAAGACAAAACTTTAGTGGAGTCCCTAGTGTGTCCGCCAAAAATCATTTGAGTTCTTAATATTTGAAAACTTAAGAGGGGTCCTAACGTTACCTCCATCATAGGTCTATCTCACTTTTGCAATCCAATAGATCTTGCTGACATTGCCCTACCATGTCATTACAAGGTCCGCAAAAATTTTAGTGAAATTAAAAGTTTGCATTGAACTTGGATTTCACTTTTCATTTCTTTTTGCTGACATTACAAAGCCATATTATCGATAAACCTATAAAAATAATGGAAGTTTATAAAAAGAGATCTAGGCTGATGATAGATAATGGGTTAGAGGGCTCATTAACGATTTTCAAATATTAAGGACCAAAACGATATTTGACTAATACAACAAGGACCTCCACTAAACTTTTGCACGTGATAATTGTCCAAACTTAACGGAGGTTTCTTGATGTTTAGCCAAAAACTACTGTTATGGGAACATAAAGTCCAAACTTACTTGAGAAATAACTCCAAGCACTCCCAAATGAACCTTTGCTGCATCCAAATCCGGGTGCCCTTCATCCAACACCCTGACCTTAGCATAACCCTCGCGGGCTTCTGCCGGCGTGATGATCCTCAGACCAACGACGTTTTCATGAACTGCACCACCCTTTCCCCATATCGAACTCCCATGCGCTCCGGTCCCCAGCATTCCACCCAACGTCACCCCCCACCAATACGGCCCATAGGGCAACGCCATGCCAACCTTCGCCGCTTCATCGATCAAATCTCTAAGCAAAATCCCGCTCTGAAAAGTCATCGTCATCGACGTTTTGTTAACGCTGATGACCTTATTGAGCGACTTGGTGCTGATTAATAGCCCATCGTTGCCCTTGAGACACACAAGATTCGGTCTGCTGTGCCCATATCGAGTTGCCACCTTCATCTTCCTATTGGCTTTTGTGGCGCTTGCAACGATGTTGATGAGCTCATTTTCTGAGGTTGGATAGACTGCTGCGCTTGCGCGGCACGTGGCTTGGTCAGAGAACGCTCCGTAGGAGTTGGTCACCGTGCAGTCGACCAAGCCTGACACACACTTGATCGGATCATCAGGAGGGCTGCAGAGAGTGTTTTTGTGAAGGAACAGGATTTGGAACAAAAAGAGGATCGTGAATTGGACTCTCATTGGTGGTGGCACTCGTGAGAAGAGCATAGTGCTGCTTCGTTATTAGGCAAGCGAATAATTAGTACGGTTTGATATCAGCGAGCATTCTTTTTAAGGAAATTTTTTGGCGTTGACAATTCGAAGTTTTAATTGCCAAGTGAAGTACTTACTAATTAGAATCCAGCAGCAATAAGCAACATAGCGTTGAAGATAATTTTTAAAGCAAGGTATAACCTTTGCAGGGAGTACGCTAAAAGATGAGGGAAAAAGAATTATACTATTTGATGATTAGTACTATCATAAATTTCGTTAGTAAAAAAAAATCTTTACTATTAGATGATTAGTACTAACCATCAACTTTGTGATCTGTGTTGATGACACATCCATTCTTTTCTTGCTTTATATTTTTACTTGAGGGTTCTCCAAAAGATTTCTTAATTCAATTATGAAATACGTAACGCTTCATGTTCAACTTATTTATTTCAATTTTTTGTGAAGAACTGTGAGGCCTAAGCCGCAAGCACTTATTGAGAAAATTAATAGCATGAAAGAGAAGAATAGTAGGAATAATTCGTACTTAAGATACTTCGACCCAAATATAGATACATCTATCGTCCTCACTCTTCTCCTTGAAGCATCACGAGAATAATTGTTTAATTACTCCCCACTTCCATCCCCAGCTAGTGCGAATTTTGTTAAAACTCTTCAAGATATATGCCTATGAAATTACCATCTGTCAAGAGTTGAAATCGGCCAAATTTCAGAAAGCTTTGCTCGAATGAGAATGAAATACCTAGCTCCTGACCATGATATTCCATCCACACAAAAATATGAGACATTGAACTTGTTTAATTTGTTTTAACTGTAATGTTGACTGGTGGATATAATAGGACAGTAAATGTGAATGAGACGAAAATCCAGCACAATGCTGAGCTAGGAAGGAATCAGAGGATCACATTGAGACACTTAACCAATACCTAAGATCCCCATCGGGGCCACGTCCCCTTTTTGTGTATTGCATATCAATCACATATTTTTGTATCACCCATAGGCATGCTACTTAAATCGTATCCGTATATCTGTAGCCATATCTGCTAGCATACGAATATGGTTATTTACATCTATAACCGATAGGATATGGTTGAGGATATGGTTTTATAGTGAAATATCCGGATTCGCTCCGAAATATCCAAATACATATTAGGCATACTCTTACGATAGTTTTAATTCTTAGATTATGGATTTGTGGTTAATTTTGATGATCAAGATGTCTAATCATAGCTTTTTAGTTATAATGAACATATGAACGAACTTTTTTGTATCACATGAACTATGTTTTCTCAATACTATCTAGTTTTCTCATACCCGTTTTGTATCCACATGCATATCCGTTTATATATCTGCATGTATATCCGTAACCATATCTGATTTTCGCAGACATGGATATGAATTTTCCTTACAGAGGTATATCTGTATCTGTATTCATATCCGAAATATGTAAGCGGATATGGATATAGCAAGCATCATATTCGAGCCGTATCCGGACAAAAATGCACCCCTAATCACTGTTGTGCACGGCGGAACAAACACAAACGCCGAGAGAGAAAGCCAAAACAATCCAAAATAACGGCACCAACTCAAACACAAAAGTTTAACGTGATTCGGCAAATTGCCTACGTCCACGGGGAAAAAAGGGATGGGTTTCCACTATAGAGAAAGAGAGTACAAAGTAGAGATTACAAGATCACTCAACTAACCTCTCAAACAAATCTCTCAAATCTCTCAAACTAAACCCTCAAACAAATTGCTCAGAAAGATCTCTCTTTTCTGTGCTCAAAATCACCTTCAAGCTACCCAATCAATCGATAGAAAACCCTAAAAAACGTGGCTCTATTTATAACAATACACAATCCCAAACAGATTAGGATTCTAAAAACGAGTCTGCCATACCCTGGTGTGGCACACACCACCCCCATGGCAAACAGGGTTGATTCTGCCACACCCTGCCACTTGGGTGTGTTGGCCTTCTTGTTTTGATGATGTCTAACAAACAATTTACCACTAATGTTGTTTGTCTAGTATTTGTATTTTCTTATTTATTGTAGACAAACAACATGTTGGAGGATGGATGGAATTGCACATTCATGATTATATCCAATGAAGGTTGGCGGAATTGTGGAGTGAAGCATGCGCAATTCAAAGTTAAAGATTCAAGTTCAAGCTTCATCCGCAAAGTGTACCAAGTCAAGCTCATCGAAGATCTATTAAGCTTGGGTATATTTAGTTTAGGTTTTATATTATGTGTGTTAGTACTTTAAGCTCAATCATATATACACACACATATTTGGTTATTATATATATAGTTATATATATACACAAGTTTTGGTTTATAGACTTAACAATCATTGTATACATATTTTATTAATTCTATAAAATTATTTTATAGGGTTTCAAAACATTGTTTATGTCAAAACATCAAATTTTATGTATATCACATTTTTATGTTTTGGACACACTTGCAAAATACATGAGTTTTCACAAATAAAAAACTCAATTTGAGAAATTCTTTTTCTAACATGTTCAATTTCATGTTTATAAATGTTTCCCAAACTTTTATCAATTTTGGAATTAATTTGTTATGTTTATTTGAATTTACAAAATCAAGTTTTAAATAAGCTCATGTTCGTGCACATGTTCGTGCATGTTTACAAAATCAAGTTTTAAATAAGCTCATGTTCGTGCACATGTTCGTGCATGTTTTTGCAAAACAGATGCGTTTTCACAATTGGGAAATACGATTTGAAAAATTTCTTCGTTTACTTGTTTATTATCATATATACAAATATTTTCCCAAGTTTTACTAATTTTGGAGTTGTTTTGTTATTTTCAATTGAATTTACATAAACATGTTTTCAGCAGTTTTTTCAGAAACTATATATATTTGTTCAAATAATTATTTCTCTCAACTGGGAAGTGATATTTCAGAAATTCTTTTACTAACATGTTTATCTATATGTCTAGAACCTTCCCTCAAAAGTTCATGATTGTTGAAATTGATTTACTATTTTTAATTGATTTTACAAAGTCGGATACGTAAAATTCCAGAATCTGTCAAAAACAGAAACTGTCTGTGAACAGTGCGATAGACCGTGCTACAGTATGGTCGGCCACTGTTACTGTAGCAATCTACCATTGCACAGTAATGATAATATCTTTTTTTTTGTTTTTAATGGGTTTTTGAGGTTTTTTTTTAGTTGTTTTCTTCAAGCCTATATATATCCCTTTGTTATAACTATTTTCTACATCCAAGAAATATTTTAACAAAGTTTTAACAAGGGTTTAAGTTTTGTTTAAGTTTGTTTAAAAAGCTTTTAAGTATATGAGGGTTTGTTTTATGAAATTAATTTTACAAGAGCTTGAGGAGATCATCTATTGGTGTTCGAGCATCCAACTACTCTCCCTCGATCTCTTGATCTATTGAGAAGTTTTCTAAACTCTATTTCTAGCTCTTTTATATATTTGATTATCATTATTATCTTGATCTATTGAGAAGTTTTCTAAACTCTATTTCTAGCTCTTTTATATATTTGATTATCATTATTATTCAGCTAGAATTATCTTGAGTTTAGTTTTGATTTATATCTTATTGTTACACATACTCACATTGAGCTTATTGTATTTTCATACATAGTATATTTGGGTTGGTGAGAGTTATAATATTAAGTGTGAGCCTACATTAAGTTCTCATCTATTGTAGAGAACAAATCATTTATTATATTGTGAGATTGTAAAGTTTTCGTTTAGCTAAAAAATCGAGTGTGAAGTGGAGATATCCTCGAGGTGAGGAGCAGAGATGTAGGTCGTGGGGACCGAACTCCGTGAATAAAATTATGAGGTGTAAACATTATTCAGGTGAGCGTAGAAAACCCGGTTGTGATAGTGAATTTCTCCCCGGGAGTGGGTAGCAGAGACGTAAGACGGAAGGTCTGAACTCCATGATCATATCGTGTGTTTGAGTTTGCTTTGGCGCACTTACTCTTATGTTTATGTTTCTTATCACCATTGTCCATTGCTCATTATTTATATCATCCACTATCTTGTTTAATTTATTTACCCTTGTGTATATCACTTATCCTAGCTCACATATCTTGTTATATTTTATACTTGCTAGGTTAACTTGTTAATTAGTTTTAATTGGCATAAAATCAGATTAGATTAGCATAAGACCCTAATCACCCACCCCCCCCCCCCTCTAGGGTCTAACAATTGGTATCAGAGCTTGGTGCTCTTTGATTTAAGGTCTAATCGTATTGAGTTAAAGATCTAAGTTATCTTTTTGTGGTAATCTTGTTTTGATTGCATTTGTATCTTGTTTGCATATTTTTACAAATTATGGATATGAATGATGCACCTTGTTTAGGCTATGATTCTAGTATTGCTCCTAAATTCAATGTTTTTCCCTATGCTCAATGGTGTTTTAGATTCAAAATATTTGTTCAATCTAAAAATATCGATTTATGGGAAGTCATTGATTGTGCTTATATTGTGCCCATGTTGGAGAAATCCAAGTGGAGCAAATATGATAAAAGGAAGTTTACAATGAACAAGATTTTGTTAGAATATTTACTAAATGCTCTTAATTCATCTATGTCTAACAAGTTTGTTCCTTTTGATAGTGCTTACAACTTATGAAAACTTATTGAAGCACATCAAGGGGACTTAGAGGCGATCCGACAAACTTTGGAGGATCCCGCTTCAAGTTCATATGGAGCATCATGCACACGGCCACTAGGCGATAGCCCTAGTGAGGTTTGCGAGTTCGAATCGATTAATGATTTATCTAGTGATGAACTTGCTTGTGCTAGTAAAAAATTATTGCATGCCTTTAACAAATTGCATAAAGATTTTATTGGTTTACAAGGCAAGCATGATAATTTAAAATCCGATCATGAG